TCATTTTAATTCATTTTAATTCATTTTAATTCATTTTAATTCATTTTAATTCATTTTAATTCATTTTAATTCATTTTAATTCATTTTAATTCATTTTAATTCATTTTAATTCATTTTAATTTCTTTTAAGTCATTTTAAGTCATTTTAAGTCATTTTAAGTCATTTTAAGTCATTTTAAGTCATTTTAAGTCATTTTACGTCATTTTAAGTCATTTGAAGTCATTTGAAGTCATTTGAAGTCATTTGAATTCATTTGAAGTCATTTTAAGTCATTTGAAGTCATCTGAAGTCACTTGAAGTCATTTGAATTCATTTTAAGTCATTTTAATTCATTTTAGTTCATGTTAATTCATTTTAATTCATTTTAATCAATTTTCGCTAATTTTCATAATTTTAATTAACTTTGATTGATTTTTTATTAAGTTTAATTGATTTTTAATTGATTTTCAGTAATTTAAATTTTAATTACAATTTTAGTGAATTTTTAATTAACTTTGATTGATTTTCATTTAATTAATTTTACTGGATTTTAATTAATTTTAATTTTAATTAATTTTAATTAATTTTGATTAATTTAAATTAATTTTAATCAATTTTAGTTAATTTTTAATTATTTTTAATTAATTTTAATTAATTTTAATTAATTTTAATTAATGTTAATTAATTTTCATTAATTTTAATTAATTTCAATCAATTTTCATTAATTTTAATCAATTTTAATTAATTTTAAAAAATTTAACCTAAGCATGGCTTGATTTTCCATGATTTCCTGCTTGCATGTTTTGATGAGCCGCAGCAATCGATTTAGGCCTCTGGCCCGGGGTCGTGCTTGCATGATTAAAGAGCCGCAGCAGTGGATTTGGGCCTTTGGCCTGGGGACCTGCTTGCGTGATTAAAGAGCCGCAGCTTTCGATTCGGGCCTCTGGCCCATGTGTCTGCTTGATTGTTTGAAGAGCCGCAGCCATCGATTTAGGCCTCTGGCCCATGTTTCTGCTTGCATGTGTGAAGAGCCCGCAGCAATCGATTTGGGCCTCTGGCCCATGTTTCTGCAGAGGACCCTGGAGCTTGTTGATACTTGCATGTTTGAAGAGCCGCAGCCATCGATTTAGGCCTCTGAAACATGTTTCTACACAACACCCTGTGTGTGTGTGTGTGTGGGTGTGGATTGTGTGTTTTTTGTGGCAGAAAATACGAGAAGGTGACTGGGGGGGGGGGGGGGGGGGAGAGAAAACGCAGACACGCCCTGATTGGAATGTGTTGCTTGGGGGCTTGGGATGTGTGTGCGAGTGTGTGTGTATGAGAATGCGCCCTCACTAAGGTGATTTTGCAACGAATTGGGTTATGACTTTGGGCCCGCTGGACATTGAGCTAGCTGAGTCTACAGCTACTCAAGTCGACCACTTCCTTTAAGGGGGTAGTACGACCAGATGACAACAATGGCTGATGTGACAATGATGTCACACACTCGCCCGCTACTGATTGTGATCACTTCTCGGGCGATGCCACTAAGTTCCTAGGGTTTCCATGTGCATCTTGTCTGCTGCTTTTCTGAAAGCAGCCATGTTGCTGTAATTTGACTGCTTCTCTTCTGGAAGCCACAAAGAGCCAAGAGCATGACCGACGCAAGGACTTAAAGAAATGCTGGTCTGAGGACTGCCTTCGCTCCCGCGCTGCAACCTTGTAGCTGAGGGCACTTGCTCATACGAGTCTTGCTGCAGATTGGTTGCTTTGACTGGCTGCGTCTCACGGAAGGTTTTTTTTTTGTGCTTCCTTTTTTTGGGGGGTTTGGGGGGGTTTCTTTCTTTTGTACCTCCAAAGGCAAACTGATGTCCTCGCAACTGCCTTGCTTTGTGGTGGCGCCCTTAGGAGTTTTTTTTTTTCTCTCTCCTCCTCTTTCTGTTTTTTTTCCCCTCTCTCCGTTCCTCTCCTTTCTTCTTCTCCCTTCGTGAGGGAATCATGAAGCCAAAGTCGCTTGAACCTTAGCCAGTGTGTGTATCGGTGGCCTAGTGCACCTTGGCAGCCTTGAGCCTGGCCCAAGTGGTGTGCGAACGCAATGTCTGACTCGCAGGAAGCACCCACCAGCCAATGGTGCTTGGAACAAGTTGCTTCGCCACGCGCTGCACGAGCGGCAGAAGCAATTGTCAACTTGCTGAAGAATCATGAGGTTCCAGAATCAGGGTGGGAATCCAGATGGCGTGCCGCGGCTATGCTTAGTGACTCCGAAGCTTTGTTGCAAGCTATGCCAAGGTTCACCTTTGACCGACAACTCTTGCCTGGGCCCTTGCAGAGCTATAGTGTGTTTCAGGAAGGAGTGAGAGAGGCACTGAATAGTGCACAAGTGCGGGCCAGAGCTGCTGCAGGCACAAAACCACCCCATGGTGTTTATGGGCCGTGGCAGGGAGGGAGACAGCCCGACCAGGGGTTGCCCCGTCCAAATGTTGCCCCGACTTGCACACATCTCAGAATCGCTGCGCTGAACATGAGAGGCGGCTTGGGTGCCCACGGAGGCCTCAAACACAGGCACCAAAGACTCCTAGCACTCATTGCCCAGCTGCAGGCGGAGAATGTTCACATTGCTGTGCTCAGCGAGCCGCGCCTTGGCCCAGGGTTTACTTGGCCAGCTAACTTAGGCTATACTTTTCTTGGCGAACGGTCAACGCTACCAGACACAGTTGCCGTCATCCTTGATGACCGCTGCTTGCCTGTTGTTAGCCAAGTTGCCGATGTGGGAAGTAGCCGTGCGTTGTGGTTGTCCATAAGCTCTAAGTCAGGGGGGCCCCCGCTTCTTGTTTTGGCTGCTTATGGACTTCATAAGCTAAACGCGCCGACTGCAAGGGTAAGCTTCTGGCAGGAGCGAGTACAGGAATTTCAAACGCTACGATTGCAGGCGTCTTACCAGAACTCACGGCTGGTGCTCCTCGGGGACCTCAATACCCACATGCCTGGGCTAGTAGCTGCGAACCACCAGTACTGTGGAGCTACTGAGCAAGCCATACACCAGCTCATTACCTCCCCTGGTGGCCTCAGTCTCACTGTGTGCAATCCGGCCGGGGCCCCCACTTTGGACGCAGGTACTGCGCTTGATGTCGTCGCAGCAGCCCCAGCTCTGAAAGTGCATGTAACTGTACAGCCATGTGAAGAAAGAACTGTGCCCAGCGACCACCTGCATCTTTTTGCTACAGTGGACATGCAGATCCCCCTTTACGCTCGCCAACAAGACCCCATTATCCAGTGGGCGCGGGGCGCTAAATGGGACGACGCTACCCAGCCCGTGCTTCCTGCGCTTCTTTTTATAGGAGCTTGGGCCACCCTCGCTTCGAGATGGGCCGCTGTCAGGGAGCAGCTCAGAAACAATAAGTGGGGTGGGCTTAGACAATGGCTGGTGGACATTGTTGCTTGGTGGAGGGCTGTCGCCCTCACCTTGGCAGGGCACGTTGCAGGACTTGTGTTGCTACACAAGTCTGGCGTCAAGCCGAAGAAGCGGATATCCCCAGTTTTAGATTGGCTTCATGATCCCAGAGCTCACAATTTATCTAGCGTCGAGCTCCGAGTAAGGGAGGAAATGTGCCTCTCAAATGATCTCCAGAATAGGACGCAGCGTCTCATTGCCAAACACGCTAGGCTCTGGTGCATAGACCGCGCCCTGGCTGACAGGCTACTAAGCGCTACCCTCAAGCCTAGGCAAGGACTCGTCCTGGCACTGACAGGCTCATGTGGCCGGGAACTGCCACAAGCACGAGCTATTTCTGTCATTACTCAGGACCTCCTCTCTCGTGCAGCAGCAAAGGGCCACGGTACAACTGCTATGAATGAGGCCATCAATGCCGAGGTGCACGCGGCACGAGCCCAGGCCCTTATTGAGGCATCCGTCCTTAAGGAAGATCCTGTGACTTGGCTGGAAGTTGCCGAAGCCATAAAGCACATGCCTAGCAACAAAGCATCTGTGCGCCTGCCACGGGCTGTGGCCCGCGTTCAGGCCTACCCAGTCACGCTGCTTACGTGGGCCTTATGCTGCTTAATTGCTGTTACTAGCAAGCTGCCCTGCATTTGGATGCGAGAAGTGAGCCCAGTCGACAAAACTGGAAGTGGTGTTATTAGACTCACGAAGCAGATCCGGCCTATTACTTGTGTGGATGACATTGAGACCATCCTTGACACTATTTGGCTAGGACAGGTTCGTCCCCAGCTTGAACAGTTTATGGGCTTTGAGCAGTCAGGGGGGCGTTTCGACCACATTGTGGTTGTCATTGGAGTTGTCCTCCTACTCCAAGCGCGCAAAGCCCAGCAATTGCCCTCACTGCTCCAAGTTGCTGACTTGCAGCAAGGGTATGAGTCTGTCTGGCGCCAGGCCCTACGATGTCTAACGCGCCGTGCCCGCCTAAAGGGGTGGCACTGGTTACTACTTGATGCTTGGTTGGGAAATGAAACCCTTAGGGTTCGCGTTGGTGGGGCCGTAGGTATGGCGGTCTCCATCCTGCACCATAGCATTGGTCAAGGTAAGGTTAGTGGCACTCACCTGTTCGGCACATTTGCGACGGCGCTCACGCGTACTTGGCAACAGCATTGCTGCGGCCTCGGCATCACTGTTGACCCGGCAGCAAATTTGGCACGGCACTTGTGCCGCCATGGTGCTCCGGGGCTGCAGCCTGCTGTCCATGACCACAACGCCCCTTGGCTTGACAAATGGGTAAAGCACCTCATGCCCATGTCTGATGTTGCTCGCCTTGAAGAAGTTGAAAGCACGGCACCCTGCCGCTTCCCCTACCAGCAGTACGTGGACGACGCCATCATACCCGCTCTGCACGCTCCAGCCTTAGCAAAAGCAAACAAGGCTATCAGTGGACGCTTGCGTCTCATGGCGGCATAAGTTTGCTGGGGGCAAAAAAGGGCCAAGGGTCCTGCCGGTGTGCTCGCAGCCGCCAGATGCTGCCGAATGCGGCACACTCTGCGGTGAACCCGCCGTGTACTGCGGAGCGAGGGGTGCAAACTTGCCAGTGGAATGAGCAATGCCGGATTTGGCGTGCCAGCCACAGCTGCCCAGTTTACCCTACGGGTTGCCAGCAAAGCGCTTGCAGGGTGTGAAGTGCTAGCCAGCTATGGAGAAGGCTTCTCCAAAGCTGCTGAGCGCGTCAACGCCGCCCAGGACGCGGTCGCTAAGGCTCTCCTGGGTATCCCGGCTGCAGCAAGTGTAGGCTCCCGCGCCGCTGTGCTGGCTGAAACACGCCTGCTCATTAGGGCTGGCACCATGGTTGCGCAACGAATTGCAATGACCAGGGCCAGAATTTTCCTCCTCCCTAGGGATCACCCCACCTCACTCGCTGTGCAGTGGATTGTGGCGGGAAATGTCCAAGACACCTGGTGGACGCACTCTGCTGAGGTGGTTCGTGCAGTTCTCCAAGTGCCGGAGATCTGGCACACAATTGAAGTCACGGATGAAATCCGTAGCTCGATCGTGCACAGGAAACGTGCGCTGGCAACCTACAAAAGGTGCCATATCCTGCCAAGGGTTAGGAAAATGGAAACTGAGTGGATCCAAGGCCAGCTCCAGAATGCTCTCACCGAGGCCATTTTGCCGTACCGGAGTATCTGCCCCACGCTGCAGCAGTGGAGACCACCGGAGCGCTGGGCACACTGGCCCCCATCCAGATGGCGCTTGCACAGGATCTGGTGTGCCGCCAGCGTCAGAGGCGCCCTGCCTCTGCTCACACCCAATTCCTGCTTCCTGCGAATTGTCCCCGTCTGCCCGTTCTGCCACACGCAGGTGGCCGGAATCCTGCGGTGGATTGCCCAGCCATGCAGGATCTGAGGACTCCATTCCAGGACAGTGGCCAAAGTTTATTTGTGGTGGCCATGCAGCCCGGGGCGCTGCAGGAAGCCACAGCCATTGCCAAGGCGCACTTGGTCGGAGGGGCTGTGTGTCGGGTCGCTCAGGCCTTGCAGCTGGAGACTGTGTAGCGGCACAACAATAACTTCGGATCGGAGATCGGAGGTCGCTTGGGATAGCTTGTGGTTCCTGCCCCGCACCTACATGGTCGGGTCCCAGGTCCCTGTGAGCTCAGGCCCTGCTCTCGAGCAATGATACCCGAATGATTGATTGATTGATTAATTTTAATTAATTTTACTTAATTTCAATTAATTTTAATTACTTTTAATTAATTTTAATTAATTTTAATTACTTGTAATTAATTTTAATTAATTTTAATTAATTAATTTTTATTAATTTTAATTAATTTTAACTAATTTTGATTAATTTTCATTAATTTTAATTAATTTTAAGTAATTTTATTAATTGTTAATTAATTTAATTAATTTTAATTAATTTGTAATTAATTAATTAATATAATTAATTTTTATTAATTTTATGAAATTTTAATTAATTTTAAATTAAACTTTACTTAGTAATGTGGAAAAAACATAATTAATTTTAATAAATTAATTTTAATCAACAACTCTAACTATTTTAATTAAATTGCTAATTAATTTTAACTCATTTTAAGTAATTCTAATTATTTTAAAATATTAATTAAAATTAATTAAAGAGAATTTTAAAATCATTAAAATCAATTAAAATTATTAAAATGTAATTAAAATTAATTAAAATGAATTAAAATTAATTAAAATTAACTAAAATTAATTAAAATTAATTAAATTAATAAATTATTAAATTTAATTAAAATTCATTAAATTAAATTAAAATTAATTAATTAATTAAATTAATTAAAAAATTATTAAAATTAATCAAAATTAATAAAATTGACTAAAATTGATTTAAATTGATTAAAATTAGTTTAAAAAGTTAATTTGATTAATTTTGATTGATTTTAATTCATTTTAATTCATTTTAATTCATTTTAATTCATTTTAATTCATTTTAATTCATTTTAATTCATTTTAATTCCCCACATCTTTGTGTGGGGTTCTTACTTTTGGGGCTGTCCCGCCTCTTCCTCCTCTTCCTCTTCCTCCTCCTCCTTCTCCTCCTTCTCCTCCTCCTCCCCGTCCTCCTCTTCCTGTTCCTCATGTCGCATGCATCACATCAGGATCACGCACATCACGGTTCACATCACGCACATGACGCCACATCACGATCACGCACATCACGCATCACATCACGGCGCACATCACGGTTCACATCACGCACATGACGCCACATCACGATCACGCACATCACGCATCACATCACGGAAACGCTGGCAGGCGCGACACAGGCGTCGTTGGGCTGGCAGGCGCGCTACTTATAGGGGCCCTGGACCCTTGCCGCGCGCGCGCTCGGGCTGCGGGAAACGCTGGCAGGCGCGACACAGGCGTCGTTGGGCTGGCAGGCGCGGTACTTAGGGGCCCTGGACCCTTGCCGCGCGCGCGCTCGGGCCGCGGGAAACGCTGGCAGGCGCGACACATGCAGGCGTCGTTTGTGCTGACAGGCGCGGTACTTAGAGGCCCTGGACTCTTGCTGCGCGCGCGCTCGGGCCGCGGGAAACGCGGCGCGATACAGGCGTCGTTGGGCTGGCAGGTGCGGTACTTAGGGGCCCTGGACCCTTGCCGTGTGCGCGCTCGGGCCGCGGGAAACGCTGGCAGGCGCGACACAGGCGTCGTTGGGCTGGCAGGCGCGGTACTTAGGGGCCCTGGACCCTTGCCGCGCGCGCGCTCGGGCCGCGGGAAACGCTGGCAGGCGCGACACACGTGTCGTTTGTGCTGGCAGGCGCGGTACTTAGAGGCCCTGGACCCTTGCCGCGCGCGCGCTCGGGCCGCGGGAAACGCTGGCAGGCGCGACACACGCGTCGTTTGTGCTGGCAGGCGCGGTACTTAGAGGCCCTGGATCTTTGCCGCGCGCGCGCTCGGGCCGCGGGAAACGCTGGCAGATGCGACACACGTGTCTGCTGGCAGGCGCGGTACTTGGAGGCCCTGGACCTTTGCCGCTCTCGCGCTCGGGCCGCGGGAAACGCTGGCAGGCGCGACACATGCGTCGTTTGTGCTGGCAGGCGCGGTACTTAGAGGCCCTGGACCGTTGCCGCGTGCGCGCTCGGGCCGCGGGAAACGCTGACAGGCGCGACACACGTGTCGTTTGTGCTGGCAGGCGCGGTACTTTGCGGCCCTGGACCCTTGCCGCGCGCGCGCTCGGGCCGCGGGAAACGCTGGCAGGCGCGACACACGCGTCGTTTGTGCTGGCAGGCGCGGTACTTAGAGGCCCTGGATCTTTGCCGCGCGCGCGCTCGGGCCGCGGGAAACGCTGGCAGACGCGACACACGTGTCTGCTGGCAGGCGCAGTACTTGGAGGCCCTGGACCTTTGCCGCGCGCGCGCTCGGGCCGCGGGAAACGCTGGCAGGCGCGACACATGCGTCGTTTGTGCTGGCAGGCGCGGTACTTAGAGGCCCTGGACCGTTGCCGCGCGCGCGCTCGGGCCGCGGGAAACGCTGACAGGCGCGACACACGTGTCGTTTGTGCTGGCAGGCGCGGTACTTAGAGGCCCTGGACCCTTGCCGCGCGCGCGCTCGGGCCGCGGGAAACGCTGGCAGGCGCGACACACGCGTCGTTTGCGCTGGCAGGCGCGGTACTTAGAGGCCCTGGATCTTTGCCGCGCGCGCTCTCGGGCCGCGGGAAACGCTGGCAGACGCGACACACGTGTCGTTTCTGCTGGCAGGCGCGGTACTTGGAGGCCCTGGACCTTTGCCGCGCTCGGCAGCCGCGACACACGCGTCGTTTGTGCTGGCAGGCGCGGTACTTATAGAGGCCCTGGATCTTTGCCGCGCGCGCGCTCGGGCCACGGGAAACGTTGGCAGGCGCGACACACGTGTCTGCTGGCAGGCGCGGTACTTGGAGGCCCTGGACCTTTGCCGCGCGCGCGCTCGGGCCGCGGGAAACGCTGGCAGGCGCGACACATGCGTCGTTTGTGCTGGCAGGCGCAGTACTTAGAGGCCCTTGACCGTTGCCGCGCGCGCGCTCGGGCCGCGGGAAACGCTGACAGGCGCGACACACGTGTCGTTTGTGCTGGCAGGCGCGGTACTGAGAGGCCCTGGACCCTTGCCGCGCGCGCGCTCGGGCCGCGGGAAACGCTGGCAGGCGCGACACACGCGTCGTTTGTGCTGGCAGGCGCGGTACTTAGAGGCCCTGGACCGTTGCCGCGCGCGCGCTCGGGCCGCGGGAAACGCTGGCAGACGCGACACACGTGTCGTTTCTGCTGGCAGGCGCGGTACTTGGAGGCCCTGGACCCTTTCCGCGCGCGCGCTCGGGCCGCGGGAAACGCTGGCAGACGCGACACACGTGTCGTTTCTGCTGGCAGGCGCGGTACTTGGAGGCCCTGGACCTTTGCCGCGCGCGCGCTCGGGCCGCGGGAAACGCTGGCAGGCGCGACACATGCGTCGTTTCTGCTGGCAGGCACGGTACTTAGAGGCCCTGGACCCTTGCCGCGCGCGCGCTCGGGCCGCGGGAAACGCTGGCAGGCGCGACACATGCGTCGTTTATGCTGGCAGGCGCGGTACTTAGAGGCCCTGGACCTTTGCCGCGCGCGCGCTCGGGCCGCGGGAAACGCTGGCAGGCGCGACACACGTGTCGTTTGTGCTGGCAGGCGCGGTACTTAGAGGGGTACTTGGAGGTCCTGGACCCTTGCCGCGCGCGCGCTCGGGCCGCGGGAAACGCTGACAGGCGCGACACACGTGTCGTTTGTGCTGGCAGGCGCGGTACTTAGAGGCCCTGGACCCTTGCCGCGCGCGCGCTCGGGCCGCGGGAAACGCTGACAGGCGCGACACACGTGTCGTTTGTGCTGGCAGGCGCGGTACTTAGGGGCCCTGGACCTTTGCCGCGCGCGCGCTCGGGGGCTCGCGAAACGCTGGCAGGCGCGACACAGGTGTTGTTTGTGCTGGCAGGCGCGGCACTTAGGGGCCCTGGGCCGTTGCCGCGCGCGCGCTCTGCACCGACCCTCTAAGTAGTACGCCGGGGACATCCGGAGCTTCCGTGGCTGGAAAGTCGACTTTTCTAGTACAAACGTAGTACGCCGCGGACACGCGGAGCTTCCGTGGCTGGAAAGTCGACTTTTTGTAGTACAGACGTAGTACGCCGCGGACGCCCTGGGCGTCTGAAGACACCGCACATAGCATGGTAACGGACATCTGGGCGCCTGAAAAACACCGCAAATAGCATGGTAGCGGACATCTGGGCGCATGAAAACACCGCAAATAGCATGGTAACGGACATCTGGGCGCATGAAAACACCGCAAACAAATATCATGGTAACGGACATCTGGGCGCTTGAAAACACCGCAAATAGCATGGTAACGGACATCTGGGCGCTTGAAAACACCGCAAATAGCATGGTAACAGACATCTGGGCGCTTGAAAACACCGCAAATAGCACGGTGACGGACGTCTGGGCGCTCGAAAACACCGCAAGTAGCATGGTAACGGACATCTGGGCGCTTGAAAACACCGCAAATAGCATGGTAACGGACATCTGGGCGCTTGAAAAACACCGCAAATAGCATGGTAACGGACATCTGGGCGCTTGAAAAACACCGCAAATAGCATGGTAGCGGACATCTGGGCGCATGAAAACACCGCAAATAGCATGGTAACGGACATCTGGGCGCATGAAAACACCGCAAACAAATATCATGTTAACGGACATCTGGGCGCTTGAAAACACCGCAAATAGCACGGTAACGGACATCTGGGCGCTTGAAAACACCGCAAATAGCATGGTAACAGACATCTGGGTGCTTGAAAACACCGCAAATAGCACGGTGACGGACGTCTGGGCGCTCGAAAACACCGCAAGTAGCATGGTAACGGACATCTGGGCGCTTGAAAACACCGCAAATAGCATGGTAACGGACATCTGGGCGCTTGAAAAACACCGCAAATAGCATGGTAACGGACATCTGGGCGCTTGAAAACACCGCAAATAGCATGGTAACGGAGTTCCGCGCGC